GGAGCATTTTTTTAATGATAGGAGTTTGAGTATACTTAGAGGCTGTGAGCAGGAAGTTAGTGAAAACAAAATGTCAAAAGAGGAAATTAAAAATAATAGGCCAGTAGGTTCAAGGATCAGATTACCCCATCACAACAACACAACTGTTCAAGGGATTAGCTCTGAATATGGGACTTTTTTTTTCCCTACTATAGCCATCTGAAACACCTAAAAATCTTTATGTAGATACCTCACCAAAAATGATATATAGATGGAAAATGAGCATATGAAAAGACACTCCACGTCGCATATCATCAGGGAAATGCAAATTAAAACAACGATATACCACTATGCACCTATTAGAGATAGACAAAATCCATGACACTGACAACACCAAATGCTGGCAAGGATGTGGGGTCACAGGAACTCTCATTCATTGTTGGTGGGAATGAAAAATAGTAATTTAGTGGTTTCTCACAAAACTAAACATACTCTTACCATATGATCCAGCAGTCATACTTCTTGATATTTACTCAAAAGAGTCAAAAGCTTATGTCCACCCAAAAACCTACACATTCCTGTTTAGCAGCTTATTCATAACTGCCAAGGCTGGATAGCAGCCAAGCTGTCCTTCAGTAGGAAAATGGATATATGAACTGTGCTACATCCAGACAATGGAAACTTATTCAGCACTAAAAAACAAATAACCTATCCAGCCACAGCAAAAACATGGAAAAATCTTAAATAAATATTACTAAAAAGGCTACATACTATATTATTCCAACTATATGGTACTCAGAGAGGCAAAAGTGACACAGTAAAAGGATAAGTGGTTGCCAAGGGTTGGTGGGAGGGAAGGAAGAATAGGCGGGGCACAGATTTTGTGGCAGTGAAAGTACTCTGTATGATAATATATGAGGGATACATGTCGTTATACATTAAATCCATAGAATGTACAAACCAAGAGTGACCCCTAATGTAAACCATGGACTTTGAGTGATTGTGGTGTGTAATGCGGGTCCATCAGTTGTAGCCAATGTATCATTCTGATGGAGGATGTTGACAAGGAGGAAGGCTATGCACCTCTGGGGTAGGAAGGTAGGTGGGAAATCTCTATACTGTCTCCTAATTTTGCTGTGAATCTAAAACTGCTCTAAAAGAATACAATATTAACAAAAAACATCTATTTAAATAAATTATGCATGTTATATGTTTCAAAAGCAAGCGAGAGAGTAAGAAACATTGATGTGAGAGAGAAACATCCGTCTGTTGCCTCTCGCACATGTTCTGACGGTGCCTCAACCAGGGACCTCATATGTGCCTTGACCAGGAATCAAACCTGCCATCCCTTGGTGTAGGGGCCAACGTTCCAACCAACTGAGCTACACTGGCCAGGGCTATAAAACTCTATAAAAATTTATATATATATATATGTTTATACACATATTTATTTATTTTTTCAATTACAGTTTACATTCAATATTATTCTGTATTAGTTACAAATGTATAGCAAAGTGGTTAGAAAATCATGTACTTTACAGAGTACCAATTTGTACTGCTTAATCCCTTGACCTTTTTCACCCAGCCCCCCAGCCCCATTCCCCTCTGACAAATGTTAGTCTGTTCTCTGTATCTATGAGTCTGTTTTTATTTTGTTTGTTTATTTTGTTCATTAGAACTATTAATGGTGAAATCACATGCATTGTTGAACCAGAAATTTAAGGGTTATTGATGACACTAAGAGGCAGGAATGACTTCTTGGAGTCCTTAAAATCATATCATTTATATAATCATGCACAATACATATACGAACTCTTTCCTTACTATGCCATTTATCGGCCAAAGTCCTGGTTAGTCCTTTCCAATACTTTACTCCTTTATTTTCTTTTAAAGTCATATATTCAAAATCTCTCTGCCCCTGATACTAAGAGAAAAAATGCCTCCTTTTTTTAAAAAATATATCTTTACTGATTTCAGAGAGAGGAAAGGAGAGGGAGAGAGAGAAAAACATCAATGATGAGAGAGTCATTTATTGGCTGCCTCCTGCATGCGCCCGACTGGGGATCGAGCCCGCAACCTGGGCGTGTGCCCTGACCGGGAATCAAACCACTATCTCCTGGATCCTAGGCCGATGCTCAACTGCTGAGCCATGCCCGGCCGGGCAAAATGCCTCCTTTTAAATCCCTGGAAGAGTCTCTGAAAGCAGTTTCAAATGCTTACACTGACAAAAACTCTAGAAAGTGATGGGATCGACTGTTCACCTGACCCAAATTCTGACCTTTAGATAATACACTATTGGAATAAAGTCATTAAAGAATAGTTAATTCATAGATATATGATCTAGAAGTTAAGGGAGCTTATAGCTATTAAAATTTGACTATTATTTGTGGTTAATGAAAGATAGGAAAGGTTGACTACTTGTTTGATTCACGGCTATAAAAGTTCTATGTCTTGGTAAACTTACCCTGGTAAACTTACCTTAGTAAACTTACCTCTTAAGGAGGGCCAGGGTCTAATTGTCTAATTGTTCAATGACCTCCTGACTTGTCATTTTCCTTTGCCAATAACCTAATGGACTATTGAGCTATGATGCTTTGGAGTTATGGTCCTTGCTTTTCCTGAATATATTGTAATAATTGCAAGGATCTCTCATCTAACTAGAGTGTAATTCAAAAATTTTACTGACATCAGATAGGTAAAGAGGTACAGGACATTATGTATTTTGTAAAAGTGCCTTAAAATTCAGTACACTATTTTTTCAGTTTGTAGGAATGCAGGTGATGGAAGCTGTGAGCCCAGGATAATAGTATCAACATAAAATATTTAAATACTAACTTATCAAAAATTATTTCAAAATGAGTTGTATGAGAACAGCTCTTTGTATTAAACATTTGTGTAGCACCTAGTATGTGCTACATGCTAGGTGTTCTTCTTAGCACTTTTCAAATATTAACTTATTTAATCCTCATAACAAAAGAATGAGATAAGTACTGTTATTATCTCCACAAATGGTGCAAAGAGGCTACCAGAGGTTAAATAATTTGTCCAAGGTTACATACCTAGTAAGCACCAAAACCAAGATTTATGCTCAGATAATTTGACTCTAAAAGATAATAAATTACTGACATACTGTGCTAAGTCTTTGCTAAAACAAGGCAAAGAAGTCCTCAAGGAAGTAGTAGGGAGAAGCCTTGAGAGGGGAGCCTGGGAGACCTGACAAAAGCTTTCAGCTTTCTTTGGGGGTTCTCTCTCTTAATCCCTGATAGCAACATAGAATGCTGTTCCCTGTCTAAGGCACTGTCCAACAATGACCAGAATTAAACTTTTTTTGAATTGTACTTAGTATAACTAAGGCAGGAAAGCATTTTAAAAACACAATTTATAATACCAAGCATAAACAAATAAATTTTTTTTAAAAAGAAAGAAAATCTAAGAAACATAAAACATTAACCTGGTAAGTAGACATATCTGATTCAACAATGACTAACTAGTTCACAGAACTTGTTGTATCCCATATTTATTTCCTTAACTAGTGTCTCCTTCCAAACAACTATAAGCCTTGTCAACTACCTATGCTGCTACCTCACTAAAGGGTTATAGTGATAAGACCCAATGTATTCCTTTAACTTGTCAACTGTCTGTTTATGACCTAAGAAAATAAAAGAAAGAGATTCTCCTCTATCATTCTCTTAGGAAGCTCCATTCAGTTTCTGATACGGGATTTGAGGGATACTTGCCTGGCAGTACCGTAGCCATTTGAAACTCCACCATCTACCTAAGCTGGAGTGTTTTGTCCACAATATGATATACAGCAACTGTGCAAGAAAGATTACCTGTGTGTAGTAATCTCAAGCTCTTCCTGTTCAAAACTATTTCCACATCAGCTGAGAAATTATATTCAGAATTTTCCTTTTCCTATTTATAAACTTAAAATATTTTCTTAGGGAAAAAAATATCTAGGTAGTAATTTCCCAGGCTACAAATTTCTGAATAAAATAGTGTCCCAGCATTTACAACCCAAAAGCAAAAATTACATCTACTAATGAATGTGTTGCATTTTTAGTGAGTGTGTTCAAAAAATATTTTATGTTAAAGTCTGTAGTAATGCAGACAAATTCAAAAACTGCATCCCTTTAAAAAAAATGGGACATCTCCATTGTCCCCAAGGAATATGGGGCACTACATAATCTCAATCTATTTTTGCCTCTAAGGAATTATATAAGATAAGCAATATTTGGGCACCAATTCATCAAAAAGATGGGCAAAATTTCACTATAATATCTTATTCATGTATTTAACAAGATTTTTATAACTATCTAAGAGGTGACATTTTACTTTTGCATAGCCTAGCAATGCATTAATATATTCACTTTTATTTTTAAAATGTACAGGTATTTCACAATACTTTAATAATAAGAGAATACAAATACTTTAAAATTCTTTGCGCATGCATTAAAGTGACCTTAACATTTAGATTTAATATTCTATTGGTTCCAACCCCCAAATTGGAGAGAAATGAAATGTAAACAAACTCAAAAATATCTTCCTTTAAAGAAAAATGTCAGAGAAAACCCAAAACTTTTCCACATAACAATAGCACAATGGCTATTGTTTCATAGGGAAGGGGTTTCCTCACATTGTAAACCTGATAGTCTTACTTTAAGCGCCTAAAAAATGGTCAAGGGTTCGAGCAAAGGAGAAAAGCTTTGCTTATAGATTCTTAGGTAGCCTTAAACTACTTTAATTTCCTATAGATTATGGTTAGGGAAAATGTGCAGGTCTTCAAACCAGTGTTTAGTATTTGCATGTCAAAGATCAATGTGAATTTTGAGGAGTAAACACACACTTTACAAACAGTTGAACACTGCTGAGAACAAAGAGAAACTTTTCCTGGACTATTATCAAAGACAAATAACATTGATGGTACAGGATTTTGTATATCTACATTTAAAGAAAAATTAGAATAAAGAGACCAAAGGGGTCTGAAATAAGATTTCCAAATACAAAATATATAGACTTACTGGTACATGCCATGGAAGGTGGGTCTTTTTCAGCTCGGAAGTAACCCTTTTCACACTGACAGACAGAAGTTGCTTCCATGTAGGTTAAACTATGTGGAGGGCATTTAGAGCATTTTGTGTTCCCAGCAAATGCTTTATAGAATCCTGGTCTACAAGCTGCGAAAATAGAAAAAAACATTTTTTTGGGTTATTATTGCTAGAGTGCCTTTATTTGCACCTGTATAACATATTTTAATTTAAACACACTTTGCACATCAGAGTTCAGTGTCACACGTACACAGAGAAGTCAATATACGTTAATATTAATGAGTTAAATTAGTTATTCAAAATTAGTAATACAACAGTGACTTCACATTTTACTCATGGTAGCTACTTTTTAGAAGCATACCTGAAACACACACACACACACACACACACACACACACAAAATGGCAATGCTTATCGAAGTGTGGGGATGTCCAAAACCAGCCGAAAAGGCAATCATTTTGTGTAGTCTGAGAGACGGCGTGAAGTAACATTGACTCACACTGTTCAAAATGTCTTTATGTTCCATTTCTTCCTCAGTCCTTCGGAGCACTCAAGGAGAAAGTCCCAGTGTGGTGCTTGGGAATCTTTAATGCCTTTCTTAAGGGCTAAAACAATTTTTTTTTTTAACAAAATGAGAGCTGGCCTTACACTGACAGACCTTAGCAAGCAAGATTCAGCTACAGTTTGATAACCACATTGCTTTATTTTTAACCATTTTTATTTATTAGGGCAAACAATTGTGGACCCCGAGAAAACATACCTGTCAAGAAGGATGCCTTATGGTTAATCAAGCCCAAATCTATAACCAGAGTCCAGGGGCCACTGTTCAGAGGCCTCTCACGCGCAGTGACGAGCCGCAGAGTAAACCGCACGCCCGCGGCGCTGCGCTCTCGCCCGCCCGCCGAGGACGCTGTTTCCGAGAGCGCGCCTGGGATCAGAATCCTACCAATCAGATTGCGACTTTCCCCCTCCAACTAGAGCGCTGCAGCTACCGCCCCGCATTTGCACTTCCCCGACCAATCAGGCGGCTCCATTCTGACCAATCAGGATGCTGCAGTTCGGTCCCAGTGAGCTGTGAGGACTTGGAGTCCTTATTTGCATAGAAATGGGCCAATCAGGGGCCAGGTGTGGTGAGGTCTCTCGCAGCGCGCTGTCAGTTTCCATCGGCAGAAGCCGTAGCACTGGAGCGGAGCTGTCCCGCCGGAGCTGAGCTGTGACGTGGCCGCTGGGGCCCCGGAGCCTCCTTGCCTGGGCCACCTCGCCCAAACTGTTCCACATCCATGCGGTTAAACAGATAACCCGTTTCACAGCCGCACTGTTTCACAACTGATTCGTTCTGATTGATTAAAGTCTCCCCATTCACTGAACCCCAAATCTGGGAATCCTGTCTAGGTTGAATCGGCAGTGATGGTTTTTTGTTCACATAACTTTTCTATTTATTATACTGAAATACATTTACTTTAAAATTTTAAATCAGTTAACAAGTGGGTAGATAAATATTAAGGAAATAAGGTATATGTGCTATATATGTATGGCAGAAATCATGAAAATGGAATGCAAATGACTAAATTTTCACAAAAAAATCATGAACATAAAATGTCAATGAGTGAAGTTATATGATGAAAAGTTTTATGGAACCTCATTTTCTCTTTGCTTAAATCCATATTGTCATTTTCGGTATAAATTTTTACAGGAATGGAAGACCCAGAAAATAGGATCCTATGCTAGGTGTGCATCCAAGGTCAAGGATGGTACAGAGCTTAGTTGTTTCTGGTCTTAAAAAACCACTGCTGGCCACTTTCTAAATTAACACTATTATACAAAATTAAAGTAATCTTCCAGTGACATATATTATCTTAACACATGTTTTAACAAACTACTTAAAAATTCAATATATTTTCACAAAATACTCTATTTAAAAATATACAAAAAATCCTAATTTAACAATAATAAATCTATGCATAAGACTTCTGCTTATGCATTTAGGACAGAAAAAATAATTGCCATTTAATGTGTGTGTGTTTTTTAATTTTTTATTTATTGATTGATATTAGAAAGAGAGAGGAAGGGGGGAGAGAAAGAGAGAGACACTGATTTGTTGCTCCACTTATTTATGCATTCACTGATTCCTTTTTGTATGTGCCCTGACCCAGGATCAAACCTGAAACCTTGGCATATCAGAACAATGCTCTAGCCAACTGAACTACCTGGTCAGGGCCATTGAATGTTTTGAAGTAAATTTAATTCCAACCTAAGTAAGTCCAAATAAATAACTATCTTTGTTTAGGTACATCTGTTGATGAATATTTGTACAAATCTAAATGAATGCAATTCTATTGATACTAGAAGTATACTATGCACCAGGCATGAACACAAACACACACACATGTTATAACTGTGTTCTTTTTGATAGTTTATGTTTGCTTTTATAAAAATGCTCCTTATAAATGATCTAATAATTCAAGAAAATTAAAATAGTCAATTCTATACAGTAAAATTACTATTAAATGGTTGGTTATTCAGAATCTATGGAACTGTGAGTGGTACATAAATAACACAGTCTCTTCTATAACTTGGTAAGTTAATTAACACTATTACAACTAATCATTAAAAACACTATCATCAAAATATTTCTCTAGGCAGGAGGCTGCCCCTCTGGCTGAGGCCTTGCGAGCCCTGCAGTGCAGGGGTCATCTTTGTGCCTGGCCAGGCCTGCCCCACTGTGGATGCAGTCACCCGGGCAGGAGATCAGGCTGCAGTCGCTGGTGCGGGCCAGCTGCCCCTAGCCAAGCTCAGGCTGGGCGGGTCAGCAGGTGGTGGTGTTGGGGTGGGGGAGCAGGGAAGGGAGAGGGGGCGGCAGGGACAGCACAGAACAGGAACAGCAAAATAACCCCGAATATGTAACATTAAACAGAGCAAAGGTGGGGGTAGGGGGAAGGGGAATAAGGGAAGCTTTTTCCAGAGTTTGGGAGCCCCATCCTTTCTTCCCACCCCAGGCTGCTCCCTCTGGAACAGGCACGAAGGACCTAGAGCTCTACTGGCAGTTATTTTTCTTGCGCACTCAGAGGTTTAAAAAATAAAAATACAATAAGCAGCCCTTTCCACTAGAGAAACTGGGCAAAGAGCTTCTATCTGCTTGGTAATCCTTTTGGTATTTCAAGGGACTCTTGTCTTGGACAGACCTCAGCACTCAAAGTCCGCTCCCTGGACCAGCAGCAGCAGCACCTCCTGCTCTCCACGCAGCCTCCGGGCCTGCAGGCCGGGGCCTCAGACTCTGCAGCCACGCGGGATTCCCAGCGAGCAGCATGCACACTGGATTTGAGAAGCTCCAGTCTGCAACCCTGGATCTTAATTCTGGCTGCACATTAGAATCACCCGAAGCTATGGGTTGACTTAAAAATGTCTTTAAATAAAAGAAAAAGAAAAAAATTCTCTAAACCTGTCAAAATGTAGAGTACATAAATACTATACAGTTACCCCACTAACATTTTCATAAATAAAATATTCTTTAGTAAATATTTAATTTCTTAATGTAATCTTATGTGGTAGTTGTAAGACAATGTATCACTAACTATTCAATAAATCCAGTTTATATACATATTATCAGTAAAATTATTTTCTACTTAATTATGTAGTTCAAAATAATATATTTTATAGTATACACTTGTAACACTTTGCTAAATAATTTAAAATGTCGAAGCCAACTATAAATTTAAATAACATATTTATTACAGTATTTATAAATATAATATACCAATTTATAGAGAATATGCAAATTGAAAAGGGGAGCTTGCATCCGTGTGTTCCAGTGCTATTTTAAATATAATTTAAATATCATAAAGGTCCTTTAAGTCACTTTTTGAAAAAGACCATTTAAAAAAATAAATTTATTAGGAATATGTATGCTATAGGACTACAGTAAAAACTCAGTGGAGACAAATACTGTTTGATCTAACTTATATGTAGAATCTAAAAAACAAACAATAAACACTAAATTCACGGAAAAAGAGATCAGATTTGTGGTTACCAGAAGGAAGGGTGGAGTGAAGGAATATTGGAAGATGGAGATCAAAAGGTACAAACTTCCAGTTATAAAATAAATAATTACTAGGGATGACAGCATGATGAATAGCTAACACTGCTAATATGACCTAAAGGAAAGTTGTTGAGAGAGTAGATCCTGAGAGTTCTTACAAAAGAATTTTTTTAATTGTATCTGTATGAGATGTTGGATGTTAACTAAACCTCTTGAGGTAACCATTTCACAATTTATGCAAGTAAAACCATCATGCTATACACCTTAAAACTTATACAGTAATGTATGTGAATTATTTCTCAATAAAACTAGAAAAATAAAAAATAAATAAAAGTTTATTATAAGTACAGATATAAAACCTATTAGACACATAGACAAAAGCTATAAACATTTTGTTTTCTTTCTGTTATCAGCCATTCAAGTCTCATCCATAAACACTGTTTAGCATATGAGGTAGCTGCTTACAACTTAATTTTGTGGAGCAAAACATTGTTATCTTTTATTTATTTTCTTTGGTAACTAAAACAAGAAGTTAAATAATTTTTATCTAAAGAGTTTTCAGCTAATTTATCAATTCCTTTCAGAATCCTCTTAAAATGCTTAAGACATCTCTTAAAATACTTTAGAACAGCTCAGTGATAGTCAAACTGTTCTTGAGAACAGCCTGATAATTGATCTCTCAGCATCCATTTTTGCACACTTTAGTATATTCTGAGGACAGAGTAATCTTCTAAACCTGCTCTGTCCAACAGTAATATAAAATGAGCCATATAGATACTGTAGTAGCCACATTAAAAACTAAAAAGAAACAGGTAAAATTAATAATATATTTCAACCCAATAACTCCAAATTATCATTTTAATATATAAACAATATATTAGCCCGGCTGGGTGTGGCTCAGCGGTTGAGCGTGGACCTAGGATCCAGGCGACCGGGGTTCGATTCCCGGTCAGGGCACATGCCCAGGTTGCGGGCTCCATCCCCAGTCGGGGGCGTGCAGGAGGCAGCCGATCAATGACTCTCTCATCATTGATGTTTCTCTCTCTCTCCCCCTCTGCCTTCCTCTCTCTGAAATCAATAAAGATACATTAAA